GGGATCTCACCATTGGCGATCCCTGTTAAAGGGGGGATCTCACCATTAGGGCCGTGTTGAAGGGGAGCCTCTCCATCATGGATCCTTGGTAATGTGCGAAGCTCCAAGCGAAGCGGATGACTTACCTTCTCTGGATTTCCTCTCTGTGATTGGTTTACCCATGGATGCTGTCTTATACAGGTAGCCGTTGTGTGTAATGGATGGTGGGGCCACGTAATACTGTCTATCGAAATATCCCAGCTCTAAACGCGGGGTCTCTGCAACATAACAAACCAAGAGCAGGGGCCTGCCATTAATATCCCAAAGAGCTCTGCCACTCACTGCGTGAAGAGCAAGAAACTGAACCAGGCAACTGGCGCACAGCAAGATTCCGAAAACTGCTCTGTGAAAATCCGCTGGCAACCTGTTTCAATGATCAAGGGATAAGTATTAACCAGGGCACAGGGCCATGGGAGGAGGGGAAATCCAGATCCAGTTTGATGTCTCATCTGAAAGTGAGGTGACGGAGATCCATAGCCGTGTTTGGTCAATGGCTCCTGTATCACCACATCATGATGTTGCTGGGATACTCTCTCTTGAATAATTATCTCTCTCTCAAATACATTCAGTGACTTGGTCGCTCCACAGCCTTCTGTGGGAGGGAATCTCAAAGGTTCACTCCCCTTTGAGTGAAGAAATCTTTCCTCACCTCAGTCCTAAATGGTCTATCCCATATTCTGAGACAGTGACCCCTGGTTCTAGATTCCCCCACCCAGGGGGGAACCTGCTCCCTGTAATTCCCACACCCGCTGAGGTTACCATGACAGTGTCCCACCTCCTCAAACTCTCCCCTCACCTGAGGTGTGGTGACCCTCAGGTTAAACCACCACCTATTGTCTCTCTCTAATGAGGGAGCATACTTCTGGGACTATGGTAACTTTTGCTCTCTTCATTTCACAGCAGACTGACCCCTGGGAAGTGGGGGGTGACTGCCTCAAGAGGAGAGGGAGAGGGGACTGGGTCTTCATTCTCTGGAGTTGAGAAGAATTAGGGCAATCTCACAGAAACGGAAAGAATTCTTATAGGGCTTTAGGATACTAAAACTTAGATTACTTCCTCTAAGAAAGTCTGAGGATACAGGGTAGGCCATTTAGGACTGAGATAAGGAGAAATGTCTTCACCCAGGGAGTGGGGAGCCTGTGGAATTCTCTGACACGGGAAACAGTTGAGGCTGAAACACTGAATGTTTTCAAGGAGGAGTTGGATATCGTTTTTAGTGCTAAAGGGATCGAAAGGTCTGGGAAAAGGAACAGAGGACTGATGGACCAAGATAATTTGGAATGGTGAAGGAGACCCGAGGGCTGAATGGCCTACTCCTGTTTTCTATGTTTCTGTCACTCAACAGAGGAAAGCTCAGGATGCACATCTCAGGACAAGGGTCATCTGGGATTGGGATGAGGAGGCTTATCTTCTCTCAGAAGCTGGTGAACCTTTGGACCTGTCTAGCCCAGTTAGCCCAGCCATTGAGTAAGCCCAAGGCAGAAACTAACACTTTGCTGGAGGCCAATGACATCAAAGGATGACGTGGGGAAACAGTAATGAGTTTGAGACCGACTGTGATCAAGAATGGAGGAGCAGGCTTGATGGGCTGAATGGCCTGTGTAATGGCCACGGGTTTTCAAGGGCGGTGCAGGTAAGGGACAGCAGACTCACCCGAGTTCTTGTTTTGGTTCAGGAATTCCACTTGGAGAGTCTGGCCTGCCTGCTGGGCCAGGTCGGCCGGAGACGGGAGATCAGGGTCCCCAGAGAAGCAGCTCACATCAGCCCCACAGAAAACCAGAGACATGGTCTCTTCCAGGTCACCGGTAACTACCGCTGCACACAGAGCCTAGGAGCAGACAGACAGAGGGTACTCCATCAGGGAAGGAGAGAGGAACATCCAACAACGAGAAAGCCTGACTCCCACCACCCTCCGGCCCACACCAACACACGGGACATTTACCAACTCCAAATGCATGCAACCCCTGACCTTGCCCTGAATTCCCGCCATTGGCCCTTCCATCAATCAGTTGAACACTCTCTCTATCCAGTCACACCACCCATTTCTGCCAATTTCCAGTATTTGAACAGAGCCATCTAACCTTCAGTTAAAACTATAACGCCCTAAAACATAAGAAATAGCAGGAGAAAGTGATTCGGAATTTCACGCCTGCCCAGCCATTCAGCAAGGTCATGGCTGATCGACCCCAAGCTTCAGCACGCCCCTGTGCCCCTCTGCATGGTGGTCAACTCCCCAATGTTTCAAAACTCTGACTGCCTCCTCTTTACATAGTCTCAGTGATCTAACCTTCACAACTCTCTGCGGTAGAGAATTCCACACATTCACTACCCTCCAGAAGGAGAGATTCCTTCGCTTCTCAGTTTTAAATGAATGTCCCCATATTCTGTAACAATGTGCCCTGGTTTGAGATTCCCACACTAGGGGAAACATCTTCTCAACATCTACCCTTTCACGCCCCCTCAGACTCTTGTACATTTCAATAAGATCAGCCCCTCATTCTTCTAAACCCTAATGAGTAAAGACCCAGATAACAAGTGTAGAGCTGGATGAACACAGCAGGCCAGGCAGCATCAGAGGAGCAGGAAGGCTGACGTTTCGGGTTGGGACGCTTCAAAGAACAAAAAGAACAAAGAAAATTACAGCACAGGAACAGGCCCTTCGGCCCTCCAAGCCTGCGCAGATCCAAATCCTCTACCTAAACCTGTCACCTATTTTCCAAGGATCTGTATCCCTCTGCTCCCTGCCCATTCATATATCTGTCCAGATACATCTTAATTGACGCTATCGTGTCCGCCTCCACCACCTCCGCTGGCAACGTGTTCCAGGCACCCACCACCCTCTGCATAAAGAACTTTCCACGTATATCTCCCTTAAACTTTTCCCCTCTCACCTTGAAATCGTGACCCCTAGTAATTGAGTCCCCCACTCTGGGAAAAAGCTTCTTGCTATCCACCCTGTCTATACCTCTCGTGATTTTGTAGACCTCAATCAGGTCCCCCCTCAACCTCTGTCTTTCTAATGTAAATAATCCTAATCTACTCAACCTCTCTTCATAGCTAGCGCCCTCCATACCAGGCAACATCCTGGTGAACCTCCTCTGCACCCTCTCCAAAGCATCCACATCCTTTTGGTAATGTGGCGACCAGAACTGTACGCAGTATTCCAAATGTGGTCGAACCAAAGTCCTATACAACTGTAACATGACCTGCCAACTCTTGTACTCAATACCCCGTCCGATGAATGAAAGCATGCCGTATGCCTTCTTGACCACTCTATCGACCTGCATTGCCACCTTCAGGGTAAAATGGACCTGAACACCCAGATCTCTCTGTATCAATTTTCCCCAGGGCTTTTCCATTTACCACATAGTTCGCTCTTGAATTGGATCTTCCAAAATGCATCACCTCGCATTTGCCTGGATTGAACTCCATCTGCCATTTCTCCGCCCAACTCTCCAATCTATCTATATTCTGCTGCATTCTCCGACAGTCCCCTTCACTATCTGCTGCTCCACCAATCTTCGTGTCATCTGCAAACTTGCTAATCAGACCATCTATACCTTCCTCCAGATCATTTATGTATATCACAAACAACAGTGGTCCCAACACGGATCCCTGTGGAACACCACTGGTCACAGTTCTCCATTTTGAGAAACTCCCTTCCACTACAACTCTCTGTCTCCTGTTGCCCAGCCAGTTCTCTATCCATCTAGCTAGTGCACCCTGGACCCCATGCGACTGACTTCACTTTCTCCATCAGCCTACCATGGGGAACCTTATCAAACGCCTTACTGAAGTCCATGTATATGACATCCACAGCCCTTCCCTCATCTATCAACTTTGTCACTTCCTCAAAGAATTCTATCAAGTTGGTAAGACATGACCTTCTCTGCACAAAACCGTGCTCCCTATCACTAATAAGCCCATTTTCTTCCAAATGTAAATAGATCCTATCCCTCAGTATCTTCTCCAGCAGCTTCCCCACCACTGACATCAGGCTCACCGGTCTATAATTACCTGGATTATCCTTGCTACCCTTCTTAAACAAAGGGACAACGTTAGCAATTCTCCAGTCCTCCGGGACCTCTCCCGTTCTCAAGGATGCTGCAAAGATACCTGTTAAGGCCCCAACTATTTCCTCTCTCGCTTCCCTCAGTAACCTGGGATAGATCCCACCCGGACCAGGGGACTTGTCCACCCTAATGCCTTTTAGAATACCCAACACTCCCCCTCTCCTTATGCAGACTTGACCTAGAGTAATCAAACATCTATCCCTAACCTCAACATCCGTCATGTCCCTCTCCTCAGTGAATACCGACGCAAAGCACTCGTTAAGAATCTTACTGATTTTCTCTGACTCTTCGCATAACTTCCCTCCTTTATCCTTGAGTGGGCCAACCCTTTCTCTAGTTACCCTCTTGCTCCTTATGTATGAATAAAAAGTTTTGGGATTTTCCTTAACCCTGTTTGCTTTCAGCCCTCTTAATTCCTCATTTCAGATTGGTCCTACTTTCCTGACATTCTTCCAAAGCTTCGTCTGTTTTCAGTCGCCTAGACCTTATGTATGCTTCCTTTTTCCTCTTTGCCAGTCTCACAACTTCACCTGTCATCCATGGTTCCCTAATCTTGCCCTTTCTATCCCTCATTTTCACAGGGACATGTCTGTCCTGCACTCTAATCAACCTCTCTTTAAATGCCTCCCACATGTCAAATGTGGATTTATCCTCAAACAGCTGCTCCCAATCCACGTTCTCCAGCTCCTGCTGAATTCAACTATAGTTGGCCTTCCCCCAGTTTAGCACTCTTCCTTTAGGACCACTTTGTCCATGAGTATTCTAAAACTTACGGAATTGTGATCACTATTCCCAAAGTAATCCCCTCCTGAAACTTCAACCACCTGGCCGGGCTCATTCCCCAACACCAGGTCCAGTATGGCCCCTTCCCGAGTTGGACTATTTACATACTGCTCTAGAAAACCCTCCTGGATGCTCCTTACAAATTCTGCTCCTTCTAAACCCCTAATACTAAGTGAATCCCAGTCAATGTTGGAAAAATTAAAATCTCCCATCACCACCACCCTGTTGCTCCTACATCTTTCCATAATCTGTCTACATATTTGTGCCTCTATCTCACACTCGCTGTTGGGAGGCCTGTAGTACAGCCCCAACATTGTTACCGCACCCTTCTTATTTCTGAGCTCTGCCCATATTGCCTCACTGCTCGAGTTCTCCATAGTGCCCTCCTTCAGTGCAGCTGTGATATCCTCTTTGACCAGTAATGCAACTCCTCCACCCCTTTACCTCCCTCTCTATTCCACCTGAAGCATCTATATCCTGGGATATTTAGTTGCCAATCTTGTCCTTCCCTCAACCAAGTCTTAGTAATAGCAATAACATCATACTCCCAGGTACTAATCCAAGCCCTAAGTTCATCTGTCTTACCTACTACACTTCTCGCATTAAAACAAATGCACCTCAAACCACCTATTCGTCATCTGGTCTCTGCCTCCTCTTCCCCTTAGTCAAACTGACTTCATTATCTAGTTCCTTACAAGCTTTAGTTACTACCTCCTTACTGTCCTCTAGCCTCCTCGTTTGGATCCCATCCCCTTGCCACATTAGTTTAAACCCTCCCCAACAGCATTAACAGGACTGATCACTCCACACCCACACACACACAACTACGTACGTACACACCCACACAGACACACATGCCCTCAGAACCCCACACACACATCCCCATACATACATAAACACACACACACACACACACACACACACACACACACACACAGTCCGCACCCACATACACACACCCACAACTACGTACACACCCACACACCCTCAGAACCAGACACACACATCCCCATACATACATAAACACACACACACACACAGACACAGACACGCACACAGTCCACACTCACAACTACGTACACACCCACACACCCTCAGAACCAGACACACACATCCCCATACACACACACACACACACACACACACACACACATATCAATGTCTCATTATTAACTGGCAGTGCCTGGTCTGTACCCATTGGAATTTGGAAGGATGAGGAGTGATTGTGTGACATATTTACAGATCCTGAGGGAACAGGACACAGTGAAAGGATGTCTCCCCTTGTGGGAAAGACTGGAACTTAGGGAGACACAGTTCAAAAATCAGATACCTGTCTTTAAAGATGGTGATGTGGAGAAGCCTTTTCCTCTCAGACTGCCATTAGTGTTCTTTTACCCAGCAGCCTAAGGAGGCTGACTTGAAACTCGAGTTCTACTTACCTGGAGGTTGAGGAAAGGAGGAAGTGTGGGCTTTTAATGATTTTTAAAACAGGAAATTATACGGCAATGTGCACACAGAGGAGAAATGATGCTTTCTATTTTAGCAGGAAACAATTTCCTCAATTGTTTGTCTGAAACATATTTGCGACTCGGGAACCATTTGGCCAATTAACATTTACAATACAGTCAATTCTCAGCTCCTGTCTCTTCTGCAGGACCAGCCAGGATGGGCTGGATGGCCTCTTTCTGTGCCAGGACAATCCTGTGGCCAGCCCTTGTCGGGAAGATTGTCTGAGGGGTCTTTTCCATAATAAATGAGGGTGAGCATCACAGACTCTACCAGAAACTACAGACTGACTGTTCAGTCCCTACTCCCACCTTCCTGTACCCACAAACCACTAACATTCTGCCTGTCCCAGCCTTACACAGACTTAAAAATGGAGCTGCCACAACTCTCAGAGCGAAGATATTTCTCCGCATTTCAAACACCCAAAATGATCGGGTTTTCCACCCCCCATCCCCAATGTGCCCCAGCCCGCACCCCTGTTTTGAGGCTCCTCAATAAGGGGGAAGAACCTCTCTGTGTTTACGCTGCCAAAACCTTTCAGAGCCTTGTATATCTCAATCGGATCACTTCTCAACTGCTCAATCGAGCAGTTTTGGGCCCCGTATCTAAGGAAGGATGCGTTGGCCTTGGAGAGGGCACTTTGAAAGGAAGAATAGAAGCTTAAACTATTCTCTAAATGGGGAAAGGCTTCAGAATCTGAAGCACGAAGGGACTTGGGAGTCCCAGTTCAGGATTCTGTTAAGGTTAACATGTAGGTTCAGGTGACAGTTAGGAAGGCAAATGCAATAAAATGTAGAACATCGATTAACACAGCACAGTACAGACCCTTCCACCCACGATGTTGTGCCGACCTATTATCCTACTCCAAGATCAAACTACCCTGCATAGCCTACACTTTACTATCATCCATGTTAGTATTCATTTCAAGAGGGCTAGAATACAAGAGCAGATATGTACTACTGAGGCTGTTTAAGGCTCTGGTCAGACCCACATTGGGAATATTGTGAACAGGTTTGGGCCCCGTATCTAGGGAAGGATGTGCTGGCCTTGAAGGGAGTCCAGAGAAGGTTTATAAGAATGATCCCAGGGTTGAAGGGCTAGTCATATGAGGAGCAGTTGAGGACTCTGGGTTTGTACTCGATGAAGTTTAGAAGGATGAGGGGGGATCTGACTGAGGGATAAATGAAAGGTGCGAGTATCGGAATAGAAAATTGGATAATGAACTGAAATAAAGCCTCCAGAGAGATTTATTTTCTTGGAGTTCATCCCAAAAGGGTCTAGGACAAAAATCAAATTTGTTTGGCCATTTTCTATCAAGTCCTTAATGTTTATTTTGCTGATTGAATTATAAATAAAGCAGCTGGTAATTATACTATTTTCTGATGTAGTGCCATATCTGATCTGATGCGCAGAGCCTACTCACTGGAAAGTTCTCTACTGGGGCCGGAACACAATTCTTTGCAAGCTTTTCAAAGCCAAGGTTCCTGTCTTTTGATGAATTGTTTTCACAGAGATACGGTGAAGCAATCGCTTCTCGGCCGATTGGCTAAGGTCAAGTGTAGCGTCTGTTCTTATCAGCTTTAATATCCGATACGTCCTTTATTTAAGGACCATATATTAATCTGATTTTTGGAGCAGGGAGTTGGAATAGGGGTTTGCTCCATCCACTTTTTTTTTTTGGGTGGCACGGTGGCTCAGCGGTTAGCGCTGCTGCCTCACAGCACCAGGGACCCAGGTTCAATTCCACCCTCGGGTAACTGTCTGTGTGGAGTTTGCATATTCTCCCCGTGTCTGTGTGGGTTTCCTCCGGGTGCTCCGGTTTCCTCCCACAGTCCAAAGATGTGCAGGCTAGGTGGATTGGCCATGCTAAATTGTCCATAGTGTTCAGGAATGTGTAGATTGGGTGGGTTATAGGGGGATGGGGATGGGGATGGGGATGGAGATGGAGATGGGTGGGATGCTCTAAGGGTCAGTGTGGGCTTGTTGGGCCGAAGGGCTTGTTTCTACACTGTAGGGGTTCTACGAAGTCCACACCACCCCTTCGAAGCCCATCCCATCCAGACCCATTCCCATACCCCTGCATTTCCCCATGTCTAACCGACACATCCATCATCTCCAGACTCATCTTTTCCAACACTTTGAGGTGAAGGTCCCCAGATCCGGAAACCGTGGAGAATCTACCACTGGGAATACCCGGTTAATAAGGTCAAAATCAGGAGTGACCGAACAACGTGGAAATCAAACTTTGAAGTTATAGTGGGCGAACCAGTACTTCATCCCTGGATACTCGCTCCCGACCAAAGTCAGAACTGCCCCGACAACTTACAGTCTCTGAGTTTTCTAAAGCAAAGATCCATCTTTTGGTTATTCTAAACTGGAAACAAGCCAGTGGTCTTCATGGTTTATCCTCCCTGTCATAAACCACCCCAGGATAACAAATATTCCATTAACACTCCCAGGGCTCACAGTCACCTACTCTCTGTCATGTACCAGACAAGGTCACTGTTCAGGAAGACCATAAGGACGTGGGAACAGAAGTAGACCAATCAGCCCATCGGGTCTGCTCCATCATGGGCCAATCTGATAATCCTCACTTCCACTTCCCTATAACCCTCGATCCCCTTCCCAATTAAAAATCTGTCCTCCTTAGCCTTGAATATATTGAATGATCCAGCCTCGATGGCCCTCTGTGGTAAAGAATCCCACAGAGTCACTCCCCTCAGAGAAAAAAAATCCTCCCCATCTCTGTCTTAAACGGGAGACCCCTTATTCTGAGATGATTCCCTCTGATCCTAGTCTCTCCCACATGGGGAAACAACCTTTCCACATCTGCATTGTCAAATTCTCTAGGAATCTTGTTTGTTTCAATAAAGTCTCCTCTCATTCCTCTATAATTCCAATACAAATTCCAGTTCTACATACAGGGCTAACCTGCTCCTTCACCTAATGTTTGCCTTAATAAGATCTCTTCACAATAGTAATCAGGCATTATTTTAAAATTTAAAATATGATCTTAATGTACATAATCCAAACATCTTTCATCACGAGCTTCACAAAACCAGTTTTGTTCCTATTCTGTGTGAACTCTCTCCTGTTCCCATGTCCCCGTCCCTCTCCAACAATCCAAGCTAACTTCCTCAATAGGACACAACACCTAGTCATATGAGTGCATCTGTATCCAGTCATCCATGTGTGATCCCAGCTGGCCAGCAAAGGTCCCAATACCCCACATATTGACAGACCTCCCTCCTGCGCCATATTCCAAATCACACGGCCATTCGCCCCGTCTTCCTGAATCTAAACTCAAACACACACCAGATACTGTCCTGAGGAAGGGTCACCAGGCCCGAAACGTTAACTCTGATTTTTTTCTTCACAGATGCTGCCAGACCCGCTGAGCTTTTCCAGCAACTTGTTTCTGTTCCTGGTTTATAGCATCCGCAATTGTTTCGGTTTTTATCAGCTACTGGGAGCTATCCTGAGTTTGCAGCCTGAGGTGCTCTGTTTTCAGTTTATGCCAAGCTTCCCTACATCCTCCTTACAGGACCTCAACACAGTTCCTAACTACAACGCTGATGCCAATGTGGATCACAGTTACTGGCTCTTCCGAACTGCTCTGAACAAGAGTCATTATGGCCTCGAAATGTTAACTTTGTTTCTCTCTCCACAGATCCTGCTATGTTTCTCCAGGCTCTTCACTGACCTTCCGACAGTGCGGCGCTCCCTCAGCGCCGACCCTCTGGTAGTGCGGCGCTCCCTCAGCGCTGACCCTCCGGCAGCGCGGCGCTGACCCTCCGACAGCGCGGCGCTCCCTCAGCACTGACTCTCTGGGAGACCTGGAGTGGTCTCCAGAACCCCTTCCCCCATCATCGTACCCCATGTGTATGGAAGTGGAGATTCCTTTGGGAAGATGCGTTGTTTTTTGACAGTGAGTTACCTTGTTGAGTTCTTCCTGGTTGCCGAACAGGAGGTGGTATTTACGGTATTTGCCCTGTCTGTATTTTGCGCTGATAAATCGCCTCCGCTCCATACTGCTGCTCGTTTCGTTGATGGCCTCACTGGGGGGAATATTCGCTGCCCAGAACTGATTGGCTTTCCGATTACTGATGCATTGAAACATCTAATGAAAGGGGGTGGGGGGGCAGAGAGAGAGAGAGAGTCAATTCCCACACTTGTCCAAAACCATCCAACTCAAACCCACCTAATACCCCACAGGGTTACCCTGAATTTCTTGTTCATTTACTCCCCATCCCTAATACCCCCGAATTGAGATTCCTGCTCGGGCCATTTCAGTGTGCAGCCAACTGTGTTACAACAATGGGTCACTGAAATGACTCTGGAGAGGCCGGTATGCTGTCACTAAGTCACCCTTTATTTACAGATGCACAGTATGTGACACTGGTCCAGGCTTCCTCAGAGTGAGCAGAACCCCTAATACACCTGTTTCTATCTGTCAGCCAGGGCTCCCTGACTGGACCAGGTTAACGGCCCCCAATCAGGGAACTCATATTCTATGAGGTCCACCTGGCTGACCTCGTTCCAATCACTACAGTCATTATCAATAACACTTTCAGGATTTGTTTGAGGCTTATAGACAGTTACTTATTGGAAAAGTTTGTGAAGAGATACCTGAACTCTGCATTATAATGGGGTTTGCAAGGCAGGCACCAGTATTGTAGTTGTACTGAAACAGGTTGGCTGGGGGGATGGCTAGTTTTCATAAGACCAGAAGACATAGGAGCAGAGATTAGGCCACTCAGCCCTTCAAGTCTGCACCGCCATTCAATCATGGCCGATAAGTTCCTCAACCCCATTCTCCTGCTTTCTTCCCCATAACCCTAGATCCCCTTGACAATCAAGAACCTATCTATCTCCATCTTAAATATACTCAATGACCCGGCCTCCACAGCCTTCCGTGGCGGTGAATTCCATAGATTCACCACTCTCTGGCTGAAGAAGTTTCTCCTTATCTCCGTTCTAAAGGATCTCCCCTTTACTCTAAGGCTAAGGGGTCAATAGAAGGGCATTGGGACTTTATGGAAGTCATGTGTGAAAGTTAATCGATTGGACCGGTTTACCGGGGTTCTGGGGGTCAGGGGCTCGGGGCTCGGGGTGATGGATTCATTTTGGATCCTGTTTAGTTCTCAGTTGGGAAACTGCCTTCCGAGAGAGAATAGCTATCCAGCTCATCCTCTGCATTTCAGAGAAATCCCTTCCAAAGGAAGTTCTTCCTAAAAACTGACAACTGTTATCCTGAAAAGCCACAGGATTCCTGATGATTAAAGAATAAAATACATCAGCAAAACTCCACAGGGAGACAGGGACTGGGCTTAGGGCTTATTCACAAGTCAGGAGTGTGATGGAATACTCCCCACTTGCCTGGATGGGTGCAGCTCCAACAACACTCGAGAAGTTTGACACCATCCAGGACAAAGCAGCCGTTTGATTGGCATCACATCCACAAACATCCCACTCCCTCCACCACCGACGCTCAGTAGCAGCAGTGTGTACTATCTACAAGATGCAGAAATTCACCAAAGATCCTCAGACAGCACCTTCCAAACCCACGACCACTTCCATCTAGAAGGACAAGGAATGCAGATATATGGGAACAATGCAAGTTCCCCTCCAAGCCACTCCCCATCCTGACTCAAAAATATATCCCCGTTCCTTCACTGTCGCTGGGTCAGAATCCTGGAATTCCCTCCCTAAGGGCTTTGTGGCTTTACCTACAGCACATGGACTGCAGCGATTCAAGAACGCAGCTCACCCCCACCTTCTCAAGGGGCAACAAGGGACAGGGAAATGAACTTTGGCGCAGCCAATGATGCACACGCCCAGTGAATAAAACAGGGTAAATAAAAACCGAAAGGACTGCAGCTACTGTAAATCAGGAACAAAAACAGACGTTGTTGGAAAAGCTCAGCAGATCTGGCAGCATCTGTGAAGGAAATATCGGAGTTAACGTTTCGGGTTCTGAGGAAGGGTCACCGGACCTGAAACGTTAACTCTGATTATTATTTTCTTCACAGATGCTGCCAGACCTGCTGAGCTTTTCCAGTAACTTCGGTTTAGTTCCTCAGTAAAACAGGCTGCGTACCTTAATCATCTGCTCAGTCCAAACTTTCTTGTCCATCTTCAGACTCCGTATTTTGGAAATGCCTGGGCCCAGGGCTCGATGTTCCCCTGCGGAATGTGGGACAGAACATTGTCTGTGAGAAGGTTTATCCCAGAGCTCCCAGCCCTCTCCATGCTGGAATCAAAGAGTGCGCACCTTTCTCTGTTCCTGCTCAACCCGCTCTATCCAACAGCTTTGGCTCTGCCTTAGTCTGTGGGCATACGTGCTCTGAACTCCAATCCTGCAGCTAATACTGGCTGCCAACCCCAACCCCGTCCTCTACCACAGGGGCTTCTTTAGAGCCAGTCACCAGCATTTCACACAGAAACAGGGATCACTGGAGAAACTCAGCAGATCTGGCAGCATCTGCATGATGGAGAGAGATAACAACAGTCGATGTTTTGTCTCTTGGACTCCGAACGCTAACTCCGTTTCTCTCTCCAAACACACCACACATGCTGCCAGAACCTGCCAAGATCCTCCAGCAATTTCTGATCCCGTTTCAGATTTCCGAAATCTGCAGTGTTTATCCATTTTATTATAGCAATGGTAGGATCCTGTTAGGTGGCCAAAGGCAGGACTCTGGAGGAGAGCCACACGATAGACACGTCCTGGAATAGATCCGGCCAGTTGGAACAGCCCCGAGAGCCCCTGATATTGCAGTCACTTGGAAGCACAGGCCCCTCTGGTCCAAGGACATTCCTGTTTCATTTCATGAGGGAACTGAATAAAGGCACGGTCGCATGGTCACATGGTCCAGGAATCTGTGAGAATGTTCGAACCAGACACTGCAGTGACATGTGCACAGTTTCAAATATTCTCGAGATAATATTGTCTCCCGCTAAGAAATCAAAAGATGAGAGTGATCGCCATGCAGCTCAGTAAAAGGCAACTTTTTCCAAACTTTCCCACTCAAGGACTGCATTGTCCTGGATCTGAATCAGTAAGTTACACCCTCAGACCCTGCTGCACTCCCTCAGTATTGACTGTCCGAAAGTGCGGCGCGCCCTCAGCACTGACCCTCCGACAGTGCGGCGCCCCCTCAGTACTAACCCTCCGACCGTGCGGCGCTCCCTCAGCACTGACCCTCCGACAGTGCGGCACTCCCTCAGTACTGACCCTCCGACAGTGCGGCGCTCCCTCAGCACCGACCCTCCGCAGTGCGGCGCTCCCTCGGTACTAACCCTCTGACAGTGCGGCGCTCCCTCAGCACTGACCCTCCGACAGTGCGGCACT